TATCAAGCCCTTCTGAAACGATGACTTTTCAGTCGGTTCCAAACCTTTTCGAGTTTATTGAATTGCGAACCCTCTTGTTGAGTGCATTTATTGCCGCAAGTATCAGTAGGCTGAATCGGCGCGCGGATGCCTGAAGGTCGAGATGCCCGCCAATCTGACGTTATTCTGAGCTCTGATTGGCCAAAATATCATCCGAACAGCCAGCCGTAATCCAGAATCAGCTGAGTGCGAGTTGCAGCGATAGTGTACGGTGTTTGTAAGTTTGGTTGATTTATGTGTAAGCATTGGTGATGTACAACCTTGCTTACTGGGCTTCGGCTCATGAGCTTTGTTTCTGTTCTCCATCCACAGAAATTGTCATGAACATCTGCCTTCGGACTATCACTGTCCCTGGTGCTCCCATAGCGTGCATACTACACAGCTAATGCTCGAGAGGAAGCTTCCCGAATTTTCGGATCCTCCAACCCTTTACTCTTTGGAGATTTTACTGTACAGAATTCCTAGAGGTGTTGATTGCACGAATGCAGTTTTTATGAGAGGAAGCAACGAGAAATTCTTCGTGAGTTTGTGGTAACTGCACAAGCTGGAAACTCTCCCTCTAAACATCCATGCCTTGAGATCACGCATCCCATTCACATCGGCGGTCACGTGTTGTCACATGTCGGGTCGCCTTACTTGCTGCATACAGCACAGTGGGTATACCCTTGCTTACAAATGTAAACACAGTACTGTGTACTACAGTACGTACTGTAGTATACAATGTCTGTCATTTTGATTGATTCATATTAAGTATTGGTGATGTACAACCTTGCTTACTAGGCTTTGGCTCACGAGCTTTATTGTCGTGAACACCTGCCTTCGGAGAATCACTGTCCCCTAGTGCTTCCATAGCTTGCATATTACATAATTGGTGACCACGCCAGGATGGTTACCACACACAGAGTAGACCTACCACAAAGATCCTGGCTCTACATATGTGCATACAGGCCTCAGAGCTAGCACGTTGCTCACTCACACGGTAGACGCAGCCCCTCCCAACTTCCCCTGTCTAGGCTTGAGCAACCTGGATCTATCCCAGCCCTCGTGCCTCCTTGTGACGTGACAGCTAGGCACCGAAGGGTTCCTACAGATGAACAATTTGTCATTATTTTTATTGTACCCCACTCTACCCCAACTTGAATATTCTTCGCAGTTCCCGGCACTAGGACTGATCTCTTTGTTCGCAGTGTATTGCAACCAGGTACATCATGTGTGCGTCCGACTTAAGTAACATTAACCCCAAACACTTCGAAGTGTGCTTCAAACCCCAAAAATCGGTCTAATTAGTCCCCTTTAATGTTCACACATTGAGGCAAGCAGGACAAGCGGCTCTTGCTCATGAGTTGGGATTTCTCTGCACTGATGTTTGCTGTCTGCCGGAAACAAGGATACAACATGCAAGTGCTGGAATCGAATTAACTGCCCTTTCGCTCTTTTGCAGGTTCCGGCTGCTCATCTCTGTTGTTTCAGAGGCCGTTACAAATGGACATGTTTGAGTGGGTTTTGTTTTCATCGACCGAGCGGAAGTGTCCCTACTTGATGAGATATCCATTGTTAATCGCCTCTTAGCGCTTCGTTCGCAAAATCTGAGCCAACCTCAAGAAGCTCAGGTCCCTCGGAAATCGTCTATCTCACATGTGAGCAGATCAAGGACTGCTTCTGTGTAATGCCAAATTTCGGGACAGCGGAAATCGCTTGATGACGTGATACCCATCACCGAACCATCCCAAATAAAAACGAACCAGGTCATCAGTTGCCGGTGGCTAGGGTCGACAATTGCCTACCACGCACTTGTCCGGTGCTTCTCATTGCGCTTTTCAGGTATACGCAAAACGCGCACACCTCGCGTAGCTAGTGGACTTAGAAATCAAACGAAACATTTAGATCAGATCCGACGAAAGCATACCGGACGATCCTGTGTCGAATACTGGGAATAGATATCCACAATACTACTCAGAGTTGGAACTTCCGTTTGCAATACGATCCAATCGACCTTATCTAAAAATTTGTTCTATGATAGGATCGTGGTTTTACTGAAAGCCCGGCGAGATTCCTTCTGACCACAACCACAGCCCAACTCGACCCATCATCCGATGCCAGGTAAAACCGAGTTTCCAGGCAGACCACGGAGCTTAGTGGACTCGGATGGTCAAAAGATGGAAGAGGCAAAACATCCTGGAAATGTCCACAGGTTGTTCCATCTGGTTCGTTCAACTGGTCCTCGGAAGCTTTTTGTCAGGGAAAGAAAGAAAGCATTCAGCTGTAGCACCCTTTCGGTGCCTAGCTGCCATGCCACCCGAAGGAAGCACGAGGGCTGGGATACTGCCAGGTTGCCCAAACCTAGACAGGGGAAGTCGAGTGGCGGAGGTCGGATTCGAACCACGGACCTTCCGGTCAGTAAATTCGCGCTCTAACCACTTGGGCCATCTCGCCCCCAGATGGCCCGAGAGCACATTCTGTGGCACCTTCTGTTTCTTTCTCGTATTGCAAAAATGTGGCCGATAACCGCCTCTGTCTTGTCAGATGGTGTTATTGTGGCTCTACCGGTGTCAGTACTTATTATACATCGTAACGCATCAAGATAATTTGCCGGAAAGGAACCACGATGATTGCTGGAGAAGTTTGACTGATTTTTGTCGGTTGCTGATAGTGCGTATCCAAGCTGTCGTCTTTACTGCACAGCTTTCCCTCCGAATACCTGAGAGAAATCTACGAACAACCCTGTTTTCAGCACCAATGGTCTTAGCTAGCGCAATCCACTCCTAAATCCCCAGAATATCGGGAAAGAAATTGTGGCAGCTTTAACTACTGTACAACGTGTCCGCGCTTCTTACAGCTGAATAAGGAGACGACGAGGTGTTTTGTGCTAATGCAGATGGTTAGAGCGCGAATTTACTGACCGGAGGGTCCGTGGTTCTCGCCCGGCCTCTGCCTCTCAACCAGCCCCTTCTAGGCTTGAGCAGCCTGGCAGTATCCCAGCTCTCGTACTTCCTTCGGGTGGCATGGCAGCTGAACTGATTGTATGTGTGTTCGACAAAACTTCACTGAAGGAACTGGAAACACACCCTGCCCACACGCGTGAATTTTTGCCCACTGCTTGGTACGGGGTTCGGAATGCTCGCTCTAGTCCCTCGAACCTCTTCGTAACCCTGTAGATTCACCTTATGGTGGAAGGCTCCACTATAATGTCTGATTAAGTGACTCATGAAGGATGCTTAGTAAAAATCCTGTCTTACTGCTTCTGTGGCTTCCTTCATTGATTGCCGATCCCTCGGAATGTCGTGCAATGCGCGTTGGAGTGATGGACACCTGTTTGAAATCAATGTTTACACGTGCTGGAGCTCTCAACCTCCAGTTCCTAGACCTTCTCATTGTCCTGAATCCTGATCGTTTATTCTATACTGGTCAATTGGGGTTGGGTAGGGGGCTCCAGCCACACTTGTTGAGTGACCTTGTAGAGGGAAACTTATTATTCGTGACAGGTACCCCGTTATACCGGTCGGTTCGTGGGGACCTTTTGGAATCTATCATTGCATCGTTTGATTGGCGGGGAGGGGTTGTGGAAGAAGGTCCGTTAGCGAAGGGCTGCAAGGACAAATGATAGGTACTTCCTGGTTGTCTTAGCGGAAGGGCGTTTGGTAGGGGTACCCACCCGTCAGTGGGAGGGTGTAGGGTTTGTACGGGAACCCTAGCCATAGCCTCTGACGTAAGACTTTAGGTTGTCAGGGTCTTTTCGGGCACTTTTCCGGAAGCCGATGACTCAGTAGTCCGATCCACCGGTTACGAGGGCCGGTGTGGTCCGTGGACGCAGGCAGTGAGGTTTTACTCTCTCACTCTAATGCGGCTGCGCACAGCAGGTGCCCTTTCAGAAACATTGGCTGTTTGGTATTAACAGTATTTTGGCCATACTGAATGACGCGTCGGCGGTCTCGGTCAACCATTCGGTGATTGGCATGTGCAGTTGCTATGGACGGCCTTTTCTAACCCATCCTTCCTCTGGGGAAGGCAGCACCACCGCTTCCACCAATAAGTACATGCTGGTTTCTCGAGGAAAATGCCTTGCTGCCTTTTCACCGCAGATGACTGCGGATTTTCATCCAGACCCAATCGTAATACGATTAATCACAGCACCGGAACTCGCCGTTCTTCTTCGGGCTGCTCTCCACTGGCCTTCTTTCCACGCTTTGACCTATAGGAACTGAGTTTCGGCCAGTATAGCTCACAGGATCATTGTAGCACAGAAGCCTGACCACCACGACAGGGTGGCAGCTTTAGATCTGAACAGTGCATGACAGTTTATGACGTGCCAATGAGATCTGAAAACACCAGTAGGTAAACTTAGTGGCGTCGACAATTATAGCGTTTCTGAATAGGGTCTCTGGGGACTCAACTCACCAAAGAATAATGACCAGTGGTTCGTCGCGCAGTCAATGGCGCATCGATGCATAATTACCCAGTCCCCGAACTAACTAAACATGCCATCGACCCCATGGCTTCACTGCATGTCCCACGCTCTCCCACTTTGCGGTGATCGAAACTGTAGCAGTTGAAACATGGTTTGTAGCTACTAAGTTGATTGGTTGATTGATTGATTGGAATCCATCACTTTGATAGTTTCCATTTAAGAACCCAGGAACAGAAATGAGCATGGGTATCATAGTGGGATTCATAGTATCGTTAATGTAGAACGCCGGTATTGCCGCCAATTACGCAACACGAGTGTGATATGCTAGTGGGACTTCGGCTCTTCGTCATTCTTCTGAATAAAACAGGCCAAATGAATTTTTGGTATTTGCCCTCTAGTTGCATGGTGAGAACAAACTGAATTTCCTTTTGTTTAGCCTCCTGATTTCACATTTATTTCACTTTTCAGTTCTGGTATTTGGAATTTGACGCAAGTTACAATGTACTGAGGTCTCGTGGATGAGCATTTGTACTTCCGCGTCACAGTTTAGCTTTCTATGAGTCAACCAGAGGAGACTAACTCGGGAGACTTTGAATGTGAGCATTGAAAAATGATTATCTTTAATTTGGACTCAGTTGTATTCACGGAACTTGTTCATTGTGTGGATGACCCTGACGAGGCTGTACGCATTGCAGTTCAGGCATCTCTGATTCAACTGAGCACAAAGGATCCGGGGAAAGTTTTACGATATCTTCATTGTCTACTTAGACAGCATGCCAACGAGGTAAGCGAACTTCGTTTTCATGGTTTTATTTCCCCTTCTGCAATTCTAGACTATCGCGTCAAACCGAATCAATATATTTTTGAACATCGTTGACACAATACTCAATGGGAATCAAGGCAATCTGCAACATTTCAAAGCCTGTAGGGGATTAATCAAGACAGTTAGTAGATTTCTTGATCAGCAGAAAGTAAGCCATATTCTCGCACTAACTTAACCTTCGGACACCAGTGGCAGGCCGTACCAGCTATTGTAGACCATGCATCCAGTATTCTGGTCACTCTGAGTTCGGCCTTTTGTCGAGAGGTCGTTGAGCATTTGCTAACGGTAGTTTCCACTGAGAAACACACCGCCCAAGGTGTAATCGAGACAGCTGGACGAATAGCTTCACAACACTGTGAGTGTATATTTTGTTGATTACCTGTGTCATAGTTTTGTGATTCTTTCGAAAACATATCTTTCGTTCGAGTGATCAACCAGCTCGTTGGATTATGGTGAGCGTTTAGCTTCCTTTAAGGCATATATCGAATTTGCTAGGTTTCTGGTTATAGACTCTTATGATTTAGACAAACGACTAGACATATGTAGATGCGTCAGAATAACTAGACAGACCTAAGTGCCGAAAGTGAGGCTTTGTTCAGCAAACGATGGACCTCTAATAACTGCAGTAAAAGTGATGGCGAATCGTTAATATGGTGTGAAATAGAGGGCAGAGTATGATAAATAATGACTATGCAGACTCCTTGTGTTGCTACTGATGGAAAAGCACGCCGTTGAAGTGAGTTATCAGTTCCCTGTTCTGGCCATAAAACTTGTTCCCTGAAATATACCCTGTTCGACAAAAATGCATCCATGTGTACGGCAGTGAGTTAAAAAATTCTTGCCGTAATAGCCGGACTGAAACATGATCACCTAGTGTTGCCTGTTCTTTGTAGTAATTCGGTGAGGTCAATTCAGCAGAAGTTTTTGATTGCGGGGATGTTCATTGAAGTCGGTTTTGTAGTTTCAATCAGGCTCAAGGTTCTTCAATGTTTAAAGCTCGAACCTACAGACCGCGACCCAAACTGGGCATCTTGACTGCTCCTGTATAGAAAGCCTCCTGTAGTTCCTTCGGGTGGTCTAGCAGCTGGACACCGAGAGGATGTTACAGCCGAACAGCTGTTATTGCTTTATTATCGCTTCAATAGAGAAGGACCCTAGTTGCATTCAATCCTATCAGCTTCTGCTTGCTCAGTTGAGCTAGGCGTCAATACCAACTGGATCAGGTTTCTAGCACAAATGGGAACACTCAGCTGTTAGTCACCGGTAAGTTTATTAAACTGGTGATTTGGACTTTGTCGTACTGTACTGCTGAATAGCTAGGTAAATGAATAGCTGTGGGTTGGGGTCGAGTCCCTTCGTATCCTAGATCGTCATCTAGTAGGTTTCAGCTTATAGAATCGAGAATTCACCGGTTCGAATTGAAACTGAATGGAAACTCGAAGTAATGGACAAGTGGTTTTCTCCATATTCGCCCTCTAGACGCGGTCTCAAGAGGTCAGATAAGGAAATTCGACTGTACTACTTCGGATTTGACTAACTTAAACCTTGTTCAATGACGCTAATCCGGGTGGTATTCGACTACATAGAGAAACGTCGAGAAACAGATGAATGAACTAGCATTGGCACATTCACACTGTCATGGGGTATCAACGCTGCCGAAGTTGGATTGATTTTGTCAAAACAGTTCGGACTACTTGAGTTCTCGGTCACTCTATGGTGTTTTCCATCGAAACCAGAGCTGGACCCGTATGTTTACAGGCCTCGCTTCGTGCCGTCGTTCCCGGGATGCTGTAGCTTGCCCACTCATCTCACAGAAAGTAGTCACACTAAAAGAAAATAGATGACGTTGACGCTGTGATGCCTCATAAGAACGAATCCATGGAAAGGAAACTTTTCAATGAAACACAGTAAATCGTTGGTCCCCGCAGTTATTTCATTACAGAATGGCACCCACGATAAGCTCCCCAAAGGAAGTGAGCGGTATGTTTATTTTGTATCCGAAATTAAAATGAGCAAGTTTCGGCCTGGATTCACAATTGTGACCTCTTGCGTTACCGTAATTACCTGAATATTCCCGTAGTTTCAAAATGAGTATAGATTGACGAGGGTGAATTTCTTCGTATCTTGTCCTCAGATCAGTGTTAGAACGACGGCAGATAATTGAATAAACAGCTGAGATTGGTTATCCGATTAAAAGGCTAGGGTCAGGGTCCCCGAACAAAACCCTACGTCATCCCACTGCCTTGTGGGTCAGACTTTGAGTCGAAGGCTCAAGGTGGGGTACCTCAACCAAACCCCCTTCCTCGGCCTGGGCAACCGGGAAGTATCATTTGCCCGCCCCATTCAGCGTCCACCGATGTCCCTCCCCAACCCCTTCCCACTGCACAAGCAAACGTCGCTGGGCCATTTGACTGTCAGTCATCTGACCGAAGGGCCTTATGCTCCACGCTGCCTACAAGCCTTAAACAAAGTAACACCTTTCTAAATCCACGAGATCCTTTCTATATAGGAGCTTTTAACGTCCGTACTCTATGCCAAATTGGCAAACAGGCAATGTTTGCTGAAACCTTGTACTCCCTTAAAATCGATGTATGCTGTGTCTCCGAAACACGCATACAAGACCCGAGC